TTTCTTATGAATTGAGAATCCATGTCTGAAATTAAAAAAAAAAGATTTGACTTGCACTGCTTCTGCTTTCCTTCAAATAGTTTTGTTCCAATCTCTCAATTTGAAGTATTGAATACTGAGGTGCTCCACCAATTCCTACATCAAATAACACAATCATAGTTGCTTTGAGAAAAAATAAATTTGGTTTGCCTCTAGAATTTGTTGCCTAGAACATGACCCAGTTTTATAGAATGTGTAAAATAACTTCCTATATCTCCCAATTAACAGAACAGAACAAGGCTAGTTAAAAATCATTGATATTTATTCAAATTTAATGCAAGACTCACAAAGTTAACACAGGAGAAGTACTGGTGTCTGCCACTTTTGCCCCCTATCGAGTTCGCCCCTTCGAATTTGCCTCTAACTTATACCATGTTCGCCCCCACACTTTTCGAGTTCGACCCCACCAAGTCGAGTTTGCCCCCAGATTGAGTAATCTCTACTTACTTTCTTTCAAAAATTGCAAACAAGTTAGAACCAAAACAAGTTTTGAATTTTAATATACTGACAACCATTTTGAAAGTTTATAAGTGCAAGGGAGCTGGGACGACCGGAAACAAGAAATAAACAAACTGGAAACAACTATGCTAGAACTTTTGTTGGTTATGACCTTTATAGATTAGGTGGTTTTGTAAACTCTTCAGTCTTATTTTCATAAATAAAGCTAAATGAGGTAAGTATCATTAAAACTGTTTTTTATTACAAGTCTAACAACTTAAGCAATGCTGTTGCAATGAAAGCATGGTTTGTATATTCTCGAGTCTGGCTGCTATGACTGAAAACCCCATGAAGCATGGAACGCATTCTCTTAATAAGTCTATAATACTCAAAAGCGTAATCAAATCGTAGTTTCGTAAACTCTTCAGTCTAATTTTCATAAATAGAGCTAAATGAGGCAAGTATGATTGAAACTGTTACACATTTATTACAAGGCTAACAACTGTCGTGATGAAAGTGAGGTTTGCATCTTCTCAAGTCTTGTTGTTATGATCAACACAATGCAATGTGCTGATCTGTGGTTTGCATCTTCTCAAGTTTGGTTGTTATGATCAACACTTTTCATGTTTGTTAGATAAACCGAGGTTGTTTCATATCTTATCCAGCATGAATAATAAGCTAAGCAATATGTTGCTTTGACTTAAGTGTGGTTCCCATTATCACAACTTCAGTATATACAGTTGTTTCGGGTAACCCCAGATCACACACAGATTCCATGCAATTGCCGAAATTCAAAATGGTTGTCACTGACTTGACATTTGGCACATTCTGCTAGAACCTTCATCACAAATAAACTCATCTGTATATCACTCAATCAAGGGGTGAACTCGACTTGGTGGGGTTGAACTCAAATCATGTGAGGCAAACACGGTAAAAGGTTGGGGTGAACTCGAAGGGGTGAACTCGAAGGGTTGAACTCGAAGGGGCGAACTCGATAGGGGGCAAATGCGGCGCAATTCGAACTATTGCTCATGTCATGCTCTTTTGACAACTTGGCTGTCTTAAAATACTTGCATGCAAAAAGCCATGGACATGTCCATGGCTTTTTGACAACTGAAGCTAGCTACTGGAAAAAAATGTATGCTTTTGATGTGGGTCAAATGGTGCCTTACTGCGAATTTCAGTCATGTATTATTTGCTGTAACAGACACTTTGTTTTCTGTTCCTTCATGCATTTTGATTACAGTAGTTGGTCTTCTTAAAGCAACAGTGTAAGTCACTTAAGTTTTCTAACATGCTACATTAAAAGATGTTTCACTTAGTTGATTCAACTTCCCACACTATGATGTAAACTGAGTATGTAATTAATCTTCTTTCATTATCTTGCCGAGGAACCTTTAATGCAATGAGGCTCAGTCACATAAAAGGAACCTGTTTTGATCAACTTTAAATTTTTTCCATCACGGGACTCATTTAAGAATCAGCACATTGAGTGAAATACAAATTACCACAACAATAGCATTTGTGTGAAAGAGTACACACAAATGCATACTGTGAATGACAAAAGACAAATAAAAATACACACTTATGGGTGTAAACCACTGCATAATTATGTGTTACTACACACTCCAAAGCTCATGTAATTAATACCTATTACATGCACTTGATGCATGAGGGGGGCTGCAGTACATGGGAGTGGTACTGTAGGGTAGCTAGAAAAAAAGTTCTGGCAAGGATCATTTAGCAGAGTTCATGGTCCCAACACAACACTCTCACAATGCCTGTCTTCACTCAGGAGCATATGTACAACATGCAAACAGTTTGTCAAAATGTCACCCACCACCACTGACAACAGTCCTTCTCAGGACTACACTCACCCAGATGATCACACTAAGCTTTCACATTTTCATATTGATGCAGGGCATGGGACACATACTTACAGCCAAGAGCTAAACATCATATGAAAGCCAGTGAAATGGATTTTATAAGTATGAAAAGGCAAAGGTCAAATGCTCTCATTATCAACAAGGTTATGGTAATCAAGTTATAGTTCTCAGCAATTTTAATCAAGTGTCTCCCTCAACTAAACATGCATGGTAAGTTGAAAGAAACTGACCCTCAAATGAAGCTTCTGTATAATTCTGCTGAGCAACAGACGGAACTTTGCTGCATCTAAGCCATTTATTAGTTCAACTGCTTTCTTTAACCTGTGGAAAGTAAAATTATTGAAAATTTGGTGATGTGAGCACTTATAGTCATTTTAATTTACACTATACAAAGTAAAATTGATAACATAAAATTAACTCTTGCTAAACTTCGAGTGAGGCGATGGATATGGTTTTTATCACTGCATCAAATGAAAATGCGTAGAAGCAATAGTTTTAAAGCATACGTTTGTGTTAATTGTTTGTAAGAAAAGGTTAATAACCAATCTCAGGTGCACCTACTATCTAATTCAGAGGGAGCTGCTATCATGGTAAAAATCCTTATGTAAGCACTGCCATGCATCCATAACATGGTGTGTGCAGGTTTCATTGCAGGTTTCATTTCAGCTGCAAGTTCCCATTGAGTTTAGCTGTGAGGTTTCAAACCTTTCAACATTGTTTTTCTGTCCCATCCAGATTGAGATAGACCTTTTGAAACTCAAAATGAAAATTAAATATGCTAAGCAAAACTTATTTTGAAAAACAAACAGGATGCTTTGGAGTTAACAATACTTCATTCCCAAACATAATGCAATTATGGCTGCAAAAGAACAAAGTGATCTTGCTAACCTCAAGTAAGGCTTTGTAGTGTGGGTACATATTATTTTAGAGTGATAATACATTCCAAAAGTGTAGTTCAATAGAAGATTTTGGTTAAAATCATACAATTTTCAGAATTTCGAAAGTAAATCCTTTCAATTTTCTGGAACCAGGAATTCAAGTTTGGTGAATCTACCGCATGGGTCTTGTAAACACAAGAAATTAATGGTTTTTGTTTTGTTTTGGAATGCTGAATATCATTTTTAGATGTTGATATGTCCTGAAAGTACTGTTAAACAGGAGATTTTAATTTTGAAAGCATACATTTTCAGAATTTTTCTTTACAAACCTACACAATTTAGTGGCAGTGAATTCTAGCTAACAATGACTAATGCACGCTGAATCTACAACACAGTCTCTTACACACAATAAATTTGTTTGTTTTAAGCTTCTTATCAGAAAAATTACCATTCTTTGAATAAAGCTTTGGTTTCAAAATATTTCTTGGTTGGTTTTGCCCTGTTTTTCACTAATAGTCTTTGGGTAGATTGTGATTACCCTGAAATAGCCAGTTTACAAAAATAAAACTCTTTAAGCACAAGTTATGTCAAATTGCACCATATTTGCCCCCTGTCATGTTCACCCTTACCTTAAACTGTGTTCACCCCCACAATTTTCAAGTTTGACCCACCAAATCAAGTTCACACCCAGATACAGTAATGTCCACGAGTTGATTAATTTGTGACAAAAATCCCTCAAGATTGAAAGCACAAGCAGAATGTGCCAAATGTCAAGTCAGCAATGACCATTTTGAATTTCAATCCATATTGCCTAATCTATGGAGGTCATGACCAAACAATTTTGAAACATTACTGCTAGTATAGTTGTTCCCAGTTAATTTATTTCTTGTTTCCAGTCGCCCCAGCTCCCACACACATACAAACTTTCAAAATGGCTGTTAGCCAATTAAAATTTAAAACTTGTCTTGCTAATAACTTGCTTGTAATTTTCAACAGAAACGTAATTTAGACAACACTCAATCTGAGGTTAAACTCACCTTGGTGGGGTTGAACTTGAAAAGAGTGGGGGAAAACACAGTATAAGGTAGGGGCGAACTTGAAGGGGTGAACTCGATAGAGGGCGAATACTGCAGATACTGTTGTGTCCACTATGTTATTTTAGCTGTATGTATATCCAGTTATGGATGCACTTACTCTGGAGTACACCAGAAGCTAGAGGTACTCTCAGCTATGCCAAGGTAACTCTTATGCACCCCTCTAACACTTCATCTCATGCTCTCCAAACCTTCCATGTGCATCCATAACTCGATATACGCCCGCTTAACATGAATTAATTATTTAGTATTACTTGCTTTGCCTGTTATCAAACATGTTGAAAAGCAGTAACTGTACCAAAAACTGAAAGCAAAATAGTGTCATGAAAGAAATGTAGGGATTCATTTTCGAAAGAAACTGTGGTGTTGTGTCGTTGGTAGGGGGGGAAGTATAACAAGATAATTTGGAACCCAGTACGGGATTATCCATGCTAATAACAACGACTTCGGTAGATTTAAGATGGGTAAAGTGACTTGGTATAACCTTCGTATCGTTAACTTACACCCTTAACTCAAGCTGAGTACGTTAAAAGCTCAAAAGTACCGAAAAGTACCTTGGAGTTGCTTGAAACATCAGCGCCATCTTGATTTTAGCGAAGAACCAGGTTCTTCTCCGATTCGCTTAAGAGAGGACGCCTGGGCACTAATTGCGTGTAAAACCCAAAGTTCATCATGGCCGACGACCGGGAAGGAGAAAATGGGAAAATAAATGTTGTTGTAAAAACTTCAAAGAACAAAGAAATCATTGAAGCGGAGGCAACTGCGACTATATTGAAGGTATTATCTTAGTATCGATAATTTAGTTCAAAGTATTTTTAATGATCTTCTTGTTTTTTTTTCTAGTTCAAAGAGCTAGTCTCCATCAAATTCAACGCTCCGGTATCTCAGTTGTGTCTTATTTTCGCCGGTCGAATTTTGAAAGACGGGGATACACTAGCATCTTATTGTGAGTTTTTTTCGCTTTATCTTTCAAAAATTATGTATTCGAATCAGTGTGAGGGGTTTTGATGTTTTAACTTGCTTGTGTTCCTTTAATTTGCAGCAATAAAAGACGGCCTTACCGTTCATCTTGTCATCAAGTCGGATAACAGGGTCAGTTGAGTCATTGTTTTACCCCCTGGAAAGTTTGTACCCATTTTAATTATCGTTTGAGACCGTTAAAAAAATTAGTTGAATCAGAAAGTAAAAGTTTTCACTTGGATTGTTCAAATCATTCTTTGACTCTAAAGTAATTGCCTTAGCATCTGATGTAATTGCCTTTTTTCTAGCTAAATCTTTCCGTTGTACAAGCCAATTTTTATCTTATTTGTTGGTTTTTTTGTGAAAACGTTTTCAAACCTGTGGTTTGTTGTATTAACTGATGTATCCTTCTTAGTATGTCTTTATGGGTTTTATCTTTGATTTAATCAAAGAAACTGTTCAGCATCAGGAGAAAACTGATGATGGCAAACCCAGAGTTCTCAAGTTTATTTGCCGGCAAAGAGTGAGATATTTAACTGCACTGCTGCATTGCCTTAGATTGTGACAAAGTGGGTATCACTTTTTTTGTGGGGAGGGGGGGGAGTGTGGGGGTGTATTTCACCAGAGAATTATGAAAATAACTAAGTAGCTAAGATGTGTATTCCCATAATCTGAGCAAAAATTTCCACTGTTTGAAAGTATTTGAACAATTGAAAAGGAAACAAGGAGTAGAGTATCTCTAGAGGGATAATTAATTTCATAAGTACTTAATTGAAGTAGCAGTTTGTTATTTAATAGCAAATTGCTGCTTGTTTTAAATCTTAAACCCTAATACACGAGAAACAATAGTTTTAGGATGAGATTGTAAGAATCTCACTAAAAGAATCTAATGATTATAATCACTGTTGGCGCATTCTCCCAAAAAGAGACCTTAAGTTCTAATTGGACCAACAATTGATCTGAAATGGGAAAATAATCTTGAGTTAAAGCTGGGGTAAACCAAAACGTTTGGAAAGAGGAAATAAATTATGTTTTGTACTAGTGAAATGATGCAAAGTGCAAGTGAGAATCTTTGCATGAACTTTCTCATGAAAGTTAATTTGCACAGAAGTTCAATGAAACTTTGAGAGAACAATAAACAAAACTTAGTGATTTTCATTTGCATTACTTTTGCACAATAATTTACTTAGAAATTTTTAACACACTTTTGGGGACTAAGCCAGAGAGAAACATGACATTACATAACAAAAAGTTTTAAAGAACCAAGTCAGTTAAGTGGTTTCAAGATCTTGCCTCTTCATCATTCATCTTTGAAGTTCTGTGGTTCACAAACACTTTGATTTGCTTCCAAGAAGCCCAAGTTTGAAAATTTTAATTTGTAAATGTTAGATAAGTGATTGTAGGAAGGTCAAGTTCTCAAGATTTTAGAAAAGGAAAGTAAATATGAATTTTGTGGAAACTTAAGTGATACACTGTCTGTTCATTGTGGAAGTGCTCACTTTTGGTTGTTAACTTTGGTTGGACAAATGTTTGTTTTAAGCTTATTAGATATCATGGCAAGTTAGAAATTTGTTCTCAGGTTGCAAAGCATACCATACATAAAAGATATTCATCTGGTTGTTCCTTTTCTAAAGGCATGTCTGAATCACAAGAAAATCAAGTTTTATTGACTTTAAGATTATTTGGTTACAGATGACTTTTTGTTTAGGTGTTCTCATTTCTGTCAAGATTACATTAGTGACAAAATTTGGTAATAGTGAAGGATGGTTCCCATTTTCAGCTGTTGGTAACCTGTCAGCCAACAGGTTACCGACACACTACCAACAGTCGGCCAATAGTGTTAAGTAGATCAGAAATTGACCAAAAACAGAGTCAAAACTTCTCTAGTTGAAAACAGTAAATAGAGATCCGTTGATTGCACCATTCATACCTATCTACTTGATTCTGTTTAAATGGTAAAATAAGCTTGTTTAACCCATCTTCTGACAATACGTACCAAAATTTAGTGGTAACTTTGGTACCTATTTCTAATATCCTTGTCTGTAGACAAAAAACTTCTTTTCTCCATATTGGGGTAGCAAATGAGCAAAGCTAAAAGTAGTTTCTCAATCACCCTATAATTGACCACTTTCATAAATGGCTGCCGGATTGACATTCTTTTGTTTAAATTTAAATTAGCCTTTCTGGCCTTGTTCTCCAGTTCAAAATTCAAAAGAATGCATATCTCAAGTGAGGCTAATTTGAATTTAAACAAAAGAATATCAATCCAGCAGCCATTTATATGTATGTATTGCAAAACTATAGCTAATGGTACCAGGGGATTAGGAACTAGAACAACTTTTCATCATGGCAGATAATTGAGATCAAAGCAATTTGGGCAAGTTTTGGTAGCCAATACAAAAAAGTAGGCAAAAGCCACAATAGATATTAAAAGTTGAGTGTGAGGTATCTTTTTTAAATGACTTTTCCCCTTTTCGTGCAGTTTTAGAAGCAATAGATAAGGAAATGTTGATCATCATTTCAGTTTATGACCCACCAACAAGTCACCATCTGTTGGCCGACAGTCAGCCGACAGTATCTTTTGGGAACTGTTCTTCACTTTTACTCAAAATTTTAGTCTACCAAGGGTGAAAATTACATTAAATTGTTCCATTGAGAGAAAGCCATGATTTTGAGTTTGCATTCCAAATGGTTGCTATGGCCCTCAGACTATACTCAAACATCCTGATTATAATTATTCAGCACTGGTTTGTCACCACATGGATTGACTCCAAATTTAAAGATGAATCAGATCTTCAAGTACATATATTTAAACTTATTTCCTCTCCTTATATTAGGCCCAGCAACAGGCAGCCCAACATGCTAGTGGTCAACAACAGGTACACCTCTCTTATTCTGGATATTATTTAGCATGTGCTCATGTCCCACAGGCTGCTAGAGCTTCTTTGCAGCTCCTAATGCAGGGCTCGACACTAACTTTTCAACTTACTAGTCTAGTGGCTAGTGACAACTTAGGCCTGGTTCAAACGTCGAATTTCACATGTGCCGAACTTAATGCGAGAGTTAAATGCATGTGAAGTGCGACGTTTGAATCAATTAAATTCGACTGTTTTAAATTAAATGCGACTTTTGCTGTATCTGCAACTGAAACAGTCGAAGATTCGACTTAGGTTCGACTTTTGATTCAAACGTTGCATCTCACGTGCCGAACTTAATGCATGAATTACAGGAAATTATTATAATTCATTTATTACCCACAACTCACCAGGAATTCTATGAATGCTATGCACAAAAAAGCCAAAACAGCACAAAAAAGTGGTGGGAGACAAAGGAATTTGTAGTTCTTGCTTTGGAAAGACAAAATACAGTTGTTTGATGTGCAATAATTACTTTTGTATGAGGTTTTTGGTTTTTGAAAACGGAGAGGGCACTCCTGGATGGAAAGTAGGAAACTCTGTGGCATATTGTAGGTCGTGTTTCAATGAAATGATGGAACGTGAATGAAGTGAAAGTATTATGACAAAAAGCCAAGATAAAGGAGCAAAAACAAACAGCAAAACAAGAGCATCAGTGAAGCAATTAAGCAAACGCTCAATAGATGTCTTCGTCTAGCAAATAAGTAGTGCACCTGGGAATATTGACAGCAAACAGAGTTAAATTCGACTGAGTTATTTAAATTCGACGTTTGAATCAAATGCTGTATTTAACTATTTTAGATGACTAAAATAGGAGTTAAGTTCAGCACTTGTGAAATTCGACGTTTGAACTGGGCCTAAAGTAGTGTGCCTGGGAATATTGACAGCGAACTGAGTTAAATGCGACAGTTAAATTCAACGTTTGAATCAAATGCTGTATTTTACTATTTTAGTCGACTAAAATAGGAGTTAAGTTTGGCACATGTGAAATTTAATGTTTGAACCAGGCCTTAGATGTTACTAGCCAAATTTCTTTATTACTAGCCAAGCTTTGATGTTGGCTAGGTCCAATAACAGCAGAATTACTAACAAGACTTGAAAGCACAATGCAAATGACACCCTTTCATATATAATGTTGGTACCAGTAATTACACTTTACCTAAACCAGTTCCAAAGGTAAAACAACTATTTTGTGAAATGCAACATGCTTAAGAGTTGTTACCGGAAAGAAATCAGTTAGGCTGCAATTAAGGTTCAGAGATTTGATTTTCCAGATGCCATCTTTAAACTAGTTCCATTAAATAAATATAACAACAACAACAGTATTAGATGCGAGCTGTCACGTGATTAAACTAGTTGGTACTGATATTCCATCATTCATAATTTATGGCAAGAAATTAATGCTGAAATTAGTCCATGAAAGTTGGCTGCTTAGCCCTCTCGCCAAAGTCAAGCCATCTTGGGACAGCTAAAGAAGAGTGATACTCTGATGGCTTTGGTCCATTAACAGAGATTCTCATAAGGGCTTCAACAGTCCCAACATCAAAGGTTGACCTGAAGTCACACATAACTCTGTTCAGACAGGAGTTGCTTCTTTCACAACAAGCAGTAGGTATAACAAGGCAGACTTCGATGACCAGCAGTAAGTTGGGGTAACCGTCTCGCATCTGAAACTTGCTCTTCTAGAAGTTGTTGTTGTTGTTGTTGTTGTACTGAAGCTCTCCTCTCGCCCTCTGCAAATGAACTTTGAGCTCCATCCATTCATCAAGGCAGGACTGCACGTTGAAGTGGTTTTGGTTTAGTAGGGCTTCAAAGTGCTCTGACAGAACCTGAATAGCATCCTCACCATAAACAAGCATCTGTTGTTGATTGTTTATTGCTATGTGTGTTGGTCTGTTAAAGTTGCTGCTCCACGAAGAATGGGATCATGGCCCAACCCATGGAATCCATCTCTTAGAAAAGTAGTGGCCATGTCCATGACGTCACCTCTACTGGCAGCAAAAGACACTTCATCATATCCAGACCTGGTTAAATCAGTACCTTTGAACTGATTCCCATCACCAACTCCTTGCTGAAATGATGTGAGATGTTCACCTGGTCTGACCTTGAATGCTTGAGTGTAGATGAGAGGGTATTCACTTTGTCTTGAAGCTGGGAAATTGAGATCTTGTTATCTTGAAATTGAAGTGATAGGTTACTTATTGCTGTAACTATGTCCAGAAGCAAATGAAGGAATAACAATAACTTGTAACTGACTAACTTTGTGCAGTATAACTACTCTGCCTTGCATTGTTACACTTGCATCTCTTGCTTGTGAAGTGTGCTGTAAGTGGGTTACTATTATATAGTAATTCTTCAAAAGAAGAATATCCAGAGCTCTCTTCAAGTGGGGAACCCAATGGGTGCTGTCTGCCTTCACTGCTTTGTAAGCCTTCACCTGCATGCTCTCAGCCTACTCTTTCAATTCACACACTGCCTTAGGTGATTATTGGTAATGTTTCCAAATCCCTTGCAACATATCTTTAGCTTCTTCTAACTATGATGCTGCCTTAACAGTATCCAAAAAGGCAAACTCTAGTTTTCATTTCAGGAGGGTGTAGACTCCACCCACATCTTCAATCATTACAGAGGCACCATCAGAGCCTAGGGAAACAGCTTTTTCTTTCCAATTTTCACAGACGTCAATCATAGCACTGTCAACAGCTTCAGTAATACCTGGTGCCTTAGCATTAGAGCAGGATTTGAGCCCTACAAATGTATTGACTGCTTCTCCATCTTTCAAAAAGCAAACATACACATCTTCAACCTCACGAACACCCACATCTGTTGCACTGTCTGTCATGACACTTAAAAAACATGTCACTTTGGATATTGTCATGATAAATTTTTGCAAGCCTTATCAGTTCTGTAAGTTTTCCCAAGCTCAATACCATGCTTCTGTTCAAGTTGACAGAGTGGAGGGTACGTTGTGAATGGCATCTCCAGTTTCGCTATGAAATATGCAACGTCAAACAGCTTTTCTAACTTTGAAACGGCTTCTTTGTTTAAATTTCTCAAGGCTCAAGGAATAGCTGTTTTCTGTGGATTGGCTGCAATACAAATTCTATCTTCAGCTCTCTTAGGACCAGCAGATCCGCATGGCTCCTAAGAGATTCTAAGCAAAAATTACAACAGCCACTCAAGACAAAATGCTGATGAGGATTTGGACAGATTCTCTTTTTCTTCACACCACATGCAAAACATTGCTCCATCTCAGTGAACAACGAATGGAAAGTCGGATTTCCACAACTGCTGGAATTTCTGCCTTGGTGGTGGAGGTGTTAGACTTACACCTTCTTCAGCAGGCCTCTTCTTTTTAGAACTATTGTCTTTGCCTTTTTCTTTTTTACCACCGGTAAAAAATCGTCTAATATCCATTGTGGAATTTTGAGAAAAACAAAACAGAGCAAATTTGCATCTGAGACCGCTTGACCCATGGTCTGCATACCTTCTGTCATGCTTGACTGGTTTAATTAAACAGAGAGAAGAGAGATAAGAAGAGAAGAATGGTTTATTCAATACCCTAATAGCAGCATGGACTAAATTGCTAAGGTTTACAATGTATAGAAGGGGAAATATTATAAATATAGTTACAAAATTACTTCAAGGCTGTGCTCTAGCAGCACCCGGTGGCCCCTGGCGCCTTACTTTTGCTCTTGGGCGACTTGGAATTTTTAGTTTTTTCATACAAAGCTGGGCACCCAGGATTTCACAGTTTCAGAGTATTGGGCTCCATTCAATTTTCCTTAGAGCACAGCCTTGTACTTGCATGCTCACAATAAGAATCCTACGACTTCAACTACAAATATAAAATTTTAGAATTAGCGCAATTGAATTGCTCAAAAAGAACTGCTCATTTATTAATAAAAGTGTCTCGACACCTATTGGTCTTATATGGCTTTACACGGTGTTGTCTAGCATTCCTGAGGTCCTTAGTTGGTCTCTCATTGAAAGGAATAAGAGGGTGCAGAACATCAAGGGGTTATCCACAATTTTGTTAAAAGGTTTTTTTCTTAGTTCCATCCTTCTTTGCTCTAATGTAACAAGGCCTGAATGTACCAGGGCATCTGCATAATGCACTTCATAACTGAAAATTATCCTAAGAGCACGTTTCTGTATTCGTTCAAAACTTAAGGTTAGATATCATGGAAGACTAAAATGAAAAACCTGTCAGCTATAAAGTAAAACAGATTGGATGCAAGCAACATAGAACTGAACTAGTTCTTCAGGTGGAACTTTGGCATGCTTTAGTTGTACTGAAAAAATACAGGTATTTGGCATCTTTTTTGTCATTTCTCTTACATGAGAATTCCACTTAAGGTCTTCTTGAATATGAACACCCAATAACTTAACTACTTGTACTGTATGAATTTTACAACCAGCGATTTCCACAAGTTCATAATTTTGTCAGAGAGCATGCAAAGGTTATCCTAAGCTCATTACATTTACTGGGGTGAAGTTGGAACTTGTTGTCAGCAGACCATGTAGATACCTTGTCGAGGATAGACTGTGCATGACTAGACCCTTTTTTCTCCACTATCTCGTAGCACAGTAAAGCAATTTATTATTGCAACGAATTGCACCAGTTTTAGTTTTGTTTGATGGCCTTCTATTTTCCTCAAATCAATTCTCTCAGGCAGACAGATCAGAAAGAAAAAAAATGCAGCAATCTTCCCGTGAAGACTTTCAGGTCTCTTTTTTGCTTTGAAATTTCCTTGGAAAAATAACAAGACCCCAAGACGTCATCATAAAAACTGATCAGCCCAAGAAAAGTTTCAAAACTAAAACATCTTTCTGAACAATCTAGCACTGTCATTGGCAAAATTCAACTGCTAAAAACAGCTGGTTTAAATGTTGAAGGAATCAAATCTTTCTCATCTTATTATTTCTGTATTGGTAAGTTTTGTCAGTGAGCATACAATGAT